GTCTGAGTGATAGGTCCCCTGCCTTTCATGTGGGAGTTAAGAATGAAACTCCTGGTCCAGTTCCGATCTCTGTGGGCACTTTGGAAGTGAAGCAGCAGATGGAAGATCTCTGTGTCTCCCTCTTTTTCTGTAATTCTGACATTGAAATACTTTATTATATTACCTTAAGTGTTTTAAAAAATATATATTTATTTATTTTTATCGAAAGATTTACAGGGAAGAGACTCAGAAAGATCTTCTGTCTGATGGTTTATTCCCCAAGTAGCCACAGCAGCTGGAGCTGAACACGAACCCGTGACCATAGAGGATCCTGGCACGTGTTCATTATTTTAAATATTTTTAAGGTAAGGTTGGAATCACTCATTTGACTTTAGAAGCAAAACTTCTGTCCATGCTGGTTTAGTCCTCCAGTGTCTGAACTGTCTGGTGCTAAGCTGGGCAAAAACAGGAAGCTCAAAATGTCATGCAGGTCCCTAATGTGGGTGGTAGGCACCCATTTCATTGAGCCGTCACTGCTGCTTCCTGCCTTGACAGGAAGCCAGAGTCTGGAGCCAGACTTGGGAACTGAACCCAGATACACTGATGATGGCTGCTGGGTTTATGAGTTTGCATTGAGGCCTTTTCCTCTGAACTTGGAGATAAAAATCCAACCCCAGTTTCCATTTCAGGTACGGACTTGCCTGGCTAAGCTCCATGGAGAACTCCATGGAAGAATCCAAACTGAAGTGTGGTAGCTAAGCATCAGTGTTTTCATCAGGGAACAAGAGATGAGAATCTCTCTGAACTCTGTTGAAGGAATAGAGCGAGGTAATCGGTGTTTGGCATACAGCTTCTGCCCTACACCCCCTAGCCAGTTAGGCGTGGTCCATGGCTGAGCATACCAAACAGCTGTTACTGTCGCCAGAGCTTGGTTTATAGCCCTGAGTAATCCAGTTTCTTCTTTCCAGGAAGTCTCTTACCATACTAATTCTTTTTTTTTTAATCATAGTAATTCTTAAAACTCATTTAGGAAGCAGTCACTTGAAAATACATGTTCTGCAGCCCCCTACCTCAGAGATCCTGATTTATGTGGTCTGGAGTGGGATGTGGGAGTCTAGGAACTTTGTGTGCGTGGGTGTTTTTTTTTTTATTTTTAAATTATTTTATGCCATAGTTCCATAGGCAGGAACTTTGTTTAAAACACACACACACACACCCTGAAGATACAAAATTGTCTAATATCACATTTTGAAGAAGGTAAACATAGGGAGAAAAATGTCATTAATTTTCAAAGGTTTGTTTTTATTGGAAAGCAAGATTTTATAGAGAAGAGAGAAAAAGATCTTCCATCTGCTAGGTCACTCCTCAGATGGTCGCAATGGCTGGAGTTGAACTGAACTGAAACCAGGAGCCAGAAACTTCCTCCGGGTCCCCCACGCAGATGGATGAAGGGTCCCAAGGCTTTGGGCTGTCCTCAGCTGCTTTCCCAGGTTACAAGCAAGGAGCTGGATGGGAAGCAGGGCTACTTGGATTACAACTGGCATCCATATGGGATCCTGGCACATTCAAGGCCAGAAATTCAGCTGCCAGGCCACCGTGCTGGATTTTTTTTTTTTTTAATTTATCCATTTTTATTAGAAAGGCAGATATACAGAGAGGAGGAGAGACAGAGAAGAAGATCCTCTGTCTGATGATTCACTCCCCAAGCGGGCACAACAGCTGGAACTGAGCAATTCTGAAGCCAGGAGCCCAGAGCTTCCCCCAGGGACTCCCATACAGGTATAGGGTCCCAAGGCTTTGGGCCGTGTTTGACTGCTTTCTTAGACTACAAGCAGAGAGTTGAATGGGAAGCAGGGCCGCCAGGGTTAGAATCGATGCCCATATGGGATCGCAGCCTACAAGAGGACTTTAGCCACTAGGCTACCACACTGGGCCCGATTTTTTTTTTTTTTTTGTGATAGGGGCCTGCATTGTAGCATAGCCGGTTAAGCTTCTACCTGCTGCACAGACATGGCGTATAGGTCCTGGCTGCTTTACTTCTGATCCAACTGCCTGCTCAAGTGCCTGGGAAAATAGCAGAGGATGGCCCAATTGCAGCAGCACCTATGTGGGAGACCTAGAGAAGGCTCCAGGTTCTTGGCTTTTGCCTGCTCCAGCCCCACTCACGGCAGCCATTTGGGGAGTGAAACATTGGGTGGAAGATCTCTCTCCTCAGTAACTCTACCTTTCAAAGAAATTAAAAATAAATCTTAAGAAACACACTGGGTTTGGCATGGTGGCCTACTGGCGAAAGTCCTTGCCTTGAATGCACTGGGATTCCATATGGGCACTGGTTCTAGTCCTGTCAGCCCCGCTTCCCATCCAGTTCCCTGCTTGTGGCCTGGGAAGGCAGTCGAGGATGTCCTAACGTATTGGGACCCTGCACCTGCGTGGGACACCGGGAGGAAATTCATCTCCTGGCTCTTGCTTGGCACAGCTCCAGCCGTTATGGTCTCTCCTCCTCTCTGCATATCAGGTTTTTTAAAAAAAAAAATCTTAAAAGAAAAGAAATACACAGAAAAAGTTTTTTTTTTTTTTTAAAAGATTTATTTTTATTATTTGTTTCTTGGAAAGGCGGATATACAGAGAGGAGAGACAGAGAGGAAGATCTTCCATCCGATGATTCACTCCCCAAGTGAGCGCAACAGCCGATGCTATGCTGATCCGAAGCCAGGAGACTCTTCTGGGTCTCCCACGCAGCTGCAGGGTCCCAAAGCCTTGGGCTGTCCTCGACTGCTTTCCCAGGCCACAGGCAGGGAGCTGGTAGGGAATTGGGGCTGCCGGGATAGAACCAGCACCCATATGGGATCCCGGGCGTGCAAGGCGAGGACCTTAACCATTGTGCCACCGCGCCGGGCCCCACAGAAAAAGTTTTTAATAAGACACCATGGTTGGAACACTGGGCCTGAACTCCCAGGCATGATGAACGTGGGTGCAGGCAGTTTAATCTAAAGGCATGTGAAGGCCCCAGTGCAGGGGCTCCAGAAGCTAATCAGCTTCCTTCAAGTGCTGGCATCCCATATGTGTGCCAGTTAGTGTTCCAGCTGCTCCACTTCCCATCCAACTCCCTGCTTGTGTCCTGGTAAAGCCACAGAAGATGGTTCAATGTCTTGGGACCCTGTACCCATGTGGGAGATCTGGAAGAAGTTCCTGGCTCCTGGCTTTGGACTGGCTCAGCTCTAGCTGTTGTGGCTATATGGGGAATGAGCCAGCGGATGGGTAACCTTTGTTTTTCTTTCTCTCTGTGTGTCTGACTTGCCTTTCCAACAAAAAATAAATAAGTAAAGGCAAGTGGAATGCTTATGGGAAAACCTAAGAATGCTAGTAGCTTTGCGGTTTTGCGGGTATACTTAACCCCCCAGCCTAGTTTCTCCATTGATAAACCAGATCTCTTTCTTACAAGGCACCTAACACAGTAGCCTGTCAGAATTCCCTTTTTTTTTTTTTTCCTCCTGAGGTTCTGGCCACGTGCAGCAGTAGCCTGTGTCTACCCGAAAAAAAAAAAAAAAGCTTACTCATCTTTTAGGTGGCCCCAGATAATAAAACATGAGAACATGTAATGAAGTGCTATTTGGTAGATAATGAAGTGACTCCGAGTGAGACCCAAGTGCTAAAGGGAATGACCTCACCGTGTCATTGAGAAGCCCATCAAGGGCCACCAACGCGGAAACCAGGATAAAGGCGACAATGACGCAAGATGGAGGCCAGAAATTGAGGCGCCTCGGGCAAAATCTAGGCTAAACTCGGACAGCCCGGCTACCTTTTTAAGATGTATGTACAATTATGGGCTAGTGATGGTGGAAGAGTGACTTCTGAGATCCTGAAGGTGCTAGGCTGCCCGATGCAACTTCAGCTGGAAAGACAAGCACTCGAGAAAAAGTTTAGCCCGTCGGGAAGTTGGGTGTTTAGCGCCTTTGTCTTATTAATAAAATGGCGTTTGCTGACCAGCTCCAGTCACAGCGGAGGCTTGTGCGCGCCGTCGCCAGGTCTCGTCCTTCCTCAACTCTCGGGGTTTACACCCACAGGAGGAAGCCTCCGCCCGCTGCCCACCCACTCACTCGGGGCGGGCCGACACGCCAGAGGGGGACTTTCGCAGAGCAGCCTGCGCCCTGCTCCTGACCCGGGAAGACCCAAACGGAGCCCCGTGGGCGAGGTCCAGCTGCGCGCCACTTGTGGAGCTCTGGCGGGGCGCTGCTGACGCGTCCCACCTAATCACCGTAAAGACGTCCCAGAGGAGGGCCAACATGGCGACGGGCGCTTCTTGGCACAGCCCCGTTCCCTCCCTCACGAGGGGAGGCCCTAAGGACAACCATTGCCCAACCTGGAGGCGGTGCCAGGCTCACTTCGCTCCCTCATTGGCCCGAGTAGCTGAGAGAGAAGCCAGTTCACCTCTGCCCACGCTAGGTTCCCGCCCACGGAGTCTATTCGGAATATAATTGGCGCTAAGTTCACGTCAATACGCGTCCTCTTCCGTCTCTTTTCAGCCTTCATCCAATTAGAACTTTTCTGTCGGCCCGCCTGATTTCTGATTGGCTCTGGTTAGTTTCAGCCTATCCCATTCCGGGCTCTTTTCTGCCCTCTCCACCCATCAGGACTTTGCCCAGGCACGTCCCGGCTGGTGATTGGTCGTCCAGTTGTCATTTCTCTCAAAGCTCTGCCTATCTCTACCGCTCCGGGATCCCGCCTGGCGGTTGACTGGCTTATCTTTAAGCCTATCACCGCCCGGTCCCGCCCACCCTCACTTCCTGCATTCTTCATTGGTTTTGACAATTGAGGGGGCGGCCTTTCTGGGCAGCCACCAAGGCGTTCAACTTTGTCTCACACGCCTCAGGGACTCCAGGAGAGTGGTCCTTGGACAGCCTACCCGTCCGTCTCCTCCAAAGCCCGCCTTCCCCCCTCCCTCATTGGGCGGGGTAACGCCGGAGGGGCGGGGCCGCGGCTGGGCTGGCGGCGCGCTGCGCCCTCCTCCTTTACCCCCCCCTCCCTGTCCGGTCCGGGTTCGCTTGCCTCGTCAGCGTCCGCGTTTTTCCCGGCCCCCCCCAACCCCCCCGGACAGGACGCCCCTTGAGCTCGCCCCTCAGCTGCCACCATGAGCGGTAAGGATGAGTCCACTCCACGCTTAGGGGTGGGAGGGGAGTGAGGGGGCGCGCGCGAGGGCAGACCGGGCGGTCCCCGCCGTGAGGGGGGGCGGGCGGGAGGCGGCGGCGGCGGCCTTGGTCCCGCCCGGGGCGGAGGGAAGGGAGGGAGAAGGGGCAGTGGCGGCGGGGCCTCGGAGGAGGAGGAAGGGGGGGATGGGCCGTCCGCCCCGGGGGAGGGGGCAGCGTGGCCTCGCCCGCCCCCTGCCCGCCCCGGCCACGGGCCTTGCCCCCCAACACACTCGGCCGCCCGCCCGAGGCTCCTCCCGCCGGGGGGCTGGAGCCGCGGGGGCGGCCCGAGCTGGGCAAGGCCCCGCCCGGGCCAACCGCCTGCCTGGTCCGCCCTCCGGTGGCCGCGACCGCCTGCCCCAAGGCCCTCCCTCCCCCCCACTTTCCGTGCCTTTCCCCTCCCCCCCCTCGGGCCGGCCCGCCCTTTCCACGCCCCTCACCCCGAAACCGCCCTTTCCCTCCAGGGCCCGCCCTCTCTCCGCCCCGAAACCTTGCGAGTTCTAACCCCGCGCACCCCTGGAACCTCTGCGCGGGATTCCCAGATGTCCCCCCCACTACTCGCACTGCCTGTTGGTCCCGGCCCCCTCTCCCTTCCTCTCCTCTCGCCACTTTTCACATTTGGGTTTGCTGTCTCCATCCCCGCTAGCCCTAATTTTAGCAAACTTTCCATCCACCCACATGCTTTTTGGCCTTCTCTCTCCTGCTGTTTTTGACGCCCAGGTTAGCTTGGCTTCTTTCGAAGCTCCTGCTGCGTGCCCACCGTCCCTCACGTTTGCTCTGTGCACACCACCTCAGGGGCAGGCTCCCAGCTGAATTCCGTGCAAGGCCACACAGACCCAGCCAGGGTCGAGACCCCATGAGTCTGGTACATGACACAGTGGCCTTCCAGCTCTCTCCAGCTCTCTCCTCCCACCCCTCCCGCCTGCCCCAATCCATTTTCTTTGTACTTCCTGTTAGTCATTTCTATTTCATCATCGCCTCCTTTTCCCCTTGCTTCAACCTTAGCCGCCCCCTCCCCCACTAGAAGTTTTTTTTTTAATTCTCCCTAGACCCAGATCACTCCATGGATGACATGACCGCGGTGGTGAAGATTGAAAAAGGAGCTGGCAGTGGTGGCAGTAACGGGGGCAATGGCAATGGCGGCGGGGCCTTTACTCAGGCTCGGAGCAGCAGTACAGGCAGCAGCAGCAGTAGCAGTGGAGGAGGAGGAGGTGGCGGCGGGCAGGTGAGTGACACCCAGAGATGGGCGGGGAGGCGGGTGGCCCGGTGGGTGTTGGGAGGCTGGCTGCTAGTATTCTTAGAAAGTGGGCGTCCTCTTCACCCCACGGTTTTTAGGAGAGGATTCCGTTTTATGGGTGGGGGAGTACACCGAGTCACAGGTGACTTGAAGGTTCTTCAAATGGCGTAGTTTCAGCAGTACAGATAGGTCCTCCTTTTTTTTTTTTTTTGTTTCTGGGTCAGCTTTTACTTATTTAATTATTTTTTACCTCCTTGATTGCTCTCGGTTGTGTTGCTGTTAATTTGTTGTATACTGCCCCCTAGGCTGGTGGCTGGGTGTCGCTAACGCCTCTCCTCCTCTCCCCCCCTCCCCTCCCTTCCCCCCCTTTTCTGGCCAGGAATCCCAGCCATCCCCCTTGGCTCTGCTGGCAGCAACTTGCAGCAGAATTGAGTCACCCAATGAGAACAGCAACAACTCCCAGGGCCCAAGCCAGTCAGGGGGCCCAGGTGAGCTCGACCTCACAGCCACACAACTTTCACAGGGTGCCAATGGCTGGCAGATCATCTCTTCCTCCTCTGGGGCTACCCCTACCTCAAAGGAACAACAGAGTGGCAGCAATTCCAATGGCAGCGAGTCTTCCAAGAATCGCGCGGTCTCTGGCAGCCAGTACGTAGTGGCTGCCACCCCCAACTTACAGAACCAGCAGGTGCTGACAGGACTGCCAGGGGTGATGTCTAACATTCAGTATCAAGTGATCCCCCAGTTCCAGACCGTTGATGGGCAGCAGCTGCAGTTCGCCGCCACTGGGGCCCAAGTGCAGCAGGACGGCTCCGGGCAAATACAGATCATCCCGGGTGCAAACCAACAGATCATCACGAACCGTGGCAGCGGAGGCAACATCATCGCTGCGATGCCAAACCTGCTCCAGCAGGCTGTCCCGCTCCAAGGGCTAACCAATAATGTGCTCTCAGGACAAACTCAGTATGTGACCAATGTACCCGTGGCCCTGAATGGGAACATCACCTTGCTACCTGTCAACAGCGTTTCTGCAGCCACCCTGACTCCCAGCTCTCAGGCAGTCACCATCAGCAGCTCTGGGTCCCAGGAGAGCGGCTCCCAGCCCGTCACCTCAGGGACTACGACCATCAGTTCGGCCAGTCTGGTGTCCTCACAAGCCAGCTCCAGCTCCTTTTTCACCAATGCAAACAGCTACTCGACAACGACTACCACCAGCAACATGGGAATTATGAACTTCACCACCAGCAGCTCATCAGGGACCAACTCTCAGGGCCAGACGCCGCAGAGAGTCAGCGGGCTGCAGGGCTCCGACACGCTCAACATGCAGCAGAACCAGACGTCCGGAGGCTCCTTGCAGGCGGGTCCGCAGAAAGAGGGTGAGCAAAACCAGCAACCACAGCAACAGATCCTTATCCAGCCTCAGCTGGTTCAAGGGGGACAGGCCCTGCAGGCCCTCCAGGCCACGCCATTGTCAGGGCAGACCTTCACCACTCAAGCCATCTCCCAGGAAACCCTCCAGAACCTCCAACTTCAGGCTGTTCCCAACTCCGGCCCCATCATCATTCGGACACCCACAGTAGGCCCCAACGGACAGGTCAGCTGGCAGACACTTCAGGTGCAGAACCTCCAAGTTCAGAACCCGCAGGCCCAGACAATCACCTTGGCCCCGATGCAGGGCGTCTCCTTGGGGCAGACCAGCAGCAGCAACACCACCCTGACCCCCATTGCCTCAGCTGCCTCCATCCCTGCCGGCACAGTCACTGTGAATGCTGCCCAGCTCTCCTCCATGCCAGGCCTGCAGACCATTAACCTCAGTGCGTTGGGCACTTCGGGGATCCAGGTGCACCAGCTGCCAGCGCTGCCACTGGCCATAGCAAACACCCCAGGTGAGTTTCCACAAGTCAGTGTTTGGCATGAACTAACTAACATCTTTCCTGGAACTGGTGAGTGTCAGTCAGAGAATAGAACCTTATGGGGGTACCACTTGCTCCAGGGCCAGTGATTTAGGAACATGGCCTTAAATTTGAAGTCTTGTAACTGAATGAGTAGGAACTTTTTCCAGTTCTTGTGATGGGAAAGAACTTTGGGACGGTGCCTCAAGGCCTGTGTACTTCCCAGTCTTTGGTTGTTTAAAAGGTCAGCTAGTAAATAGTTTGGGCTTGTGTCCCACATGTGATCTCAGTCACGCACTCTTTGGTTTGCCTGAATTTTTAAAAAATGTTTATTTTTATTGAAAGAGTGATGTAGAGAGACAAACGAGAACTTCTTGTCTGCGGGTTCACTCCCCCAAAACCTGCAACACCCAGGTCTGTATCAGGCCAAAGTTAGGAGCCAGGACCCCTGCTGGGGTGTCCTGCAGGGTGGCAGCGGCCCAGGGATCTGAACCGACCTCTGCTGCCTGAGCAGGAAGTTGGGTAAGAGAAGTGTGGATCAGCGAGGACTTGAACTTGTTCTCTGACATGGGATCCCAGGGGGTGGCTCAACCAGTTGTACCAGAATGTCTCTGTATGTGTTGTTTTGTTTTTGTCTTTTAAGGTATACATATGTTTTTAAAGATTCCCAGATCATTCTTGATTGTAAGGCCTTCTTTAGCCTATGGGCCAAGTCCTGCGTAGGATAAAAATCATCACGTGGTTCTCATGAGCTGTGGCTCCTAATTGAGGGAAAAGTGAGCTAACGGGTTCCAGGAAGTTTTCAACAAAATAAGTTCCCTTTTTAATCTGTAGATAACCATAGTAACCATGCAAGCTGGTTAGTCATCAAAGCTTAATTTTTTTTAAACAGGATCTCTCCCCCTCACACTAATGTATATTTTAAATAAGCATCCTAGGTAATTCTTGTACTTCCTTGATGGAGATTGCTTTTGCAAGCACTTGACACTGCCGGAAAGGGAGGAGGAAAAAAAGTATGGAGAGGTGGGGTTTGACAGGTCTAGGAGTAAAAAAGCTAGAGGCAGATTTTCAGTCTTTCATTCGAATCTGTTTTTATTATTGGTTCATTTGAAATGTAAACATGACCATGAAGTAGAAATGAAGGCATATTTAGAATTACTGCTTTAAATTCATCAGATAGGGCTCACGTTTAATAAGGCACGATAGAAGGATCCAGAACACATAGCTTTACGCTCTAGCATGGTTTAGATAATCACAATGGGTGGTAGGTGATTACCGCCACACTTTGGCTTTCTTGAAATGTGTGTTGACTTGCGTTAGTTAAGGAGTTCTCATTCCATTGAGACTGGCTCTTATGTAAGTGAACAATAAACAGGCGACTGTACTTCCGGCCGCCTGCAGTTTTGGAAAATCTAGTGGGGAGAGGCAGCTCAGCTTCTCCAACTGCCTTATGAGATCATGATGTGTTTAAAATGACGCCGTTTGGGATTTTACCAAGACAGTAATTTCCTTAGTGAGTTGGAGGTGCTGGCATAGCAGGAGCGGGGCCCTCTGTGGTCAGGTCGCACGAGCTGTGCCAGAGGAGGGAGGCAGTGAAGGTATGTGAGAAACTCCTCCAAGTAGGGGGCCTGGCTGCCGGGGCTCGTGGGGAATTCTCCTGGCCTGGGGCAGGACCTGTGAATTTTAACAAGGGACTTTGGGAAATCCTCTGGCTTGTTCACAATTTTTGGAAAAGATTTCTTTGCTTCCTTAAGATTGAGTGAAACTCTAGAGATGACAGATATTTTGTAGGCTAAGAATTTATGGGTGCAGACGTGGGGAAAAATTTCCTAAAAACTGAACTCTGTTTGAAAATGTCCAGAAAATGAGACGTTCTATGGGCCGTCTCCATGAGCAAGTTTGTTCCCTCTTTGCTGTTAGGTTGTTGTATTCAGCAGTTTTGCTTATCTACCAAGGGAAAAGCTCAGGGCTGTGGGATTGCTCAGTTAACACTTTGGATCCTTGCAATTTCTGAAGGTTTTCTAACTCAGAAACTTTCAAACTTGGGCCTTAGAGAAGCGCTGAGAATTTCTCATTGCTAAATCACGCTCGGGGGAAGTGTGCCACTTCATGTGTCATAGGATAGGGGAAGCTGGTGGTTGTTTTTAATGGTCTCTGAACTCAAGGAAATAAAGATGTTTCTGCGAAGTGTTAGCAGTTGAAAACTCACAAGTGAGAGAATGAGGCAGTGAAAGGCCATTTTATGGGAGTTAGGTTTATTTGCTTCAATTAATGTGAGTTTTCACATTTTACACGGCTACTAAAAACTAGCTTGCTATGCAGGAAAATTCAACCTCTTGGCAGAATGATGCAGTGGAGTTAGTGCAGGACATGAAATGGCATTGTAAGCTACGTGTGTATCCCTGAACAAAATGAGGTATTGCTTTTAAATGGTTGTGGGAGAATGCAGCTTCCATTATGTTTGTTCAGTTGGTTTAAATTTATTTAGAAATGTATTTGAAAGTTTTCAACCTTTTACAAATTTGTAAGCTCGCCTGTTCTATTTTCTTCTGTTCGCTTATGTTTACTGAATACATGAGCAAAGCACAAACTTAGGAACAGAATAAGCCAGGTAGCTCTGTGTTTTTCATGGCTCTGTCTTTGCTGGGTGGTTATGAGGGCAGGACCACCCAGAAAGCTTAGCTTGTTTTCCAGTGAAATGATCTTAGTGTTTTTTTAAAGTCATCAGAAGCCTTTTTTTTTTTTCTTTTGAGTCATCAGAAGCATTTTTTAAGCCAACACTCTATTCGTTTGTGAGCATATTCCATGTTCATATATGTATGTGTACATATGTGTGTGTATATAGTCCATGTTCACATATAGTTTTGTTTACTTTTCTAGATAAAAGTGACAGGCTTCCTTTCTCAGTAACTGCTGAATCCTGAGAGCTCTTCCTCAGGTTGAGAGGTGGCCCACTTTGAAGCACTGACTTGGCAGACTTGTTAGTGCAGAGCTGGTGTTGGCAGAAGAATAGAACATTTTTCTATGATGGCTATAATTCACTGAAGAAACAGATTTTTAGGCACTAAAAATAAAAACTCACATCTTTTGGGTCTTACTGGGGTAGGGAAAACTGTCTTCCCTTAGAAGTGAAGTTGAATGTGATACCAGAGTTGGCTTGCCAGCCAGTGTCACCTAACCTGGGGTCAGATTGCTGAGACCTAATTTGTTAAAAAGTTGTATTTTAGACCAGTAGCTAGTTAGTGTCTGTCTGTCTGTGTTTTCTGTTGTGATTAGTTTTATTAGTCTTAAGATTTATTTTTATTGCAAAGTCAGATATACAGAGAGGAAGAGAACAGAGAAGACAATCAACCCGATGATTCACTTCAGGGTCCCAGGGCTTTGGGCTGTCCTTGACTGCCTTCCCAGGCCACAAGCAGGGACATGGATGGGAAGCAGGGCCGCCAGGATTAGAACTGGTGCCCATATGGGATCCTGACACATTCAAAGTGAGAACTTTTAGTCTCTAGGACACTGCACTGGGCCTGACAAGTAACTTTTTTTAAAATAAAGATTTATTTATTTCGACCTGGCGTGATAGCGTAGTGGTTAAAGTCGAGGACAGCCCAAAGCTTTAGGACTGCACCCACGTTGGAGACCTGGAGGAAGCTCCTGGCTTCCGATTGGCTCAGCTCCAGCTGTTGTGGTCACTTGGGGAGTGAATCATCGAACGGAAGATCTTCATCTCTGTCTCTCCTCCTCTGTGTATTCACCTTTCTGAAAAAATAAATCTTTAAAAAGTATATTTATTTATTTTTATTGCGAAGTCAGATAAACAGAAAGAGGAGGAGAGACAGAGAGGGAGATCTTCCATATGATGATTCACTCCCCAAGTGACCTCAACAGCCGGTGCTGTACTGATCTGAAGCTAGGACCAGGAACTTCCTCCAGGTCTCCCACGCTGGTGCAGGGTCTCAAGGCTTTGGGCCGTCCTCCACTGCTTTCCCAGGCCACAAGCAGGGAGCTGGATGGGAAGTGGAGCTGCCGGGACTAGAACTGGCGCCCATTTGGGATCCTGGCACATTCAAGGCCAGGCCTTTAGCCACTAGGCCACCGTGCTGGGCCTCCGACCAGTACGTTTAACATCAAGGAAAAGTAGATTTAGATGATTAAAATGTCTTCAGAATTATTATAGTGAAAGGGGCATGAGAATTTTCTGATTTCAAATTCATTATATCAAATACAACAAATCGTTTTGGGTTAAGTAGTGGCTTCAGTTTAAATATGAAAGGTGGTCCCGGCGCGGTGGCGCAGTGGTTAAGGTCCTCACCTTGCAGGCCCCGGGATCCCATATGGGTGCCGGTTCTATCCCGGCAGCCCTGCTTCCCTTCCAGCTCCCTGCCTGTGGCCCGGGAAGGCAGTCGAGGACGGCCCAAAGCTTTGGGATCCTGCACCCGCGTGGGAGACCCAGATGAGGCTCCTGGCTTCGGATCAGCATAGCATCGGCCATTGCGCTCACTTGGGGAGTGAGTCATCCGACGGAAGATCTTCCTCTCTGTCTCTTCCTCTCTGTATATCCGCGTTTCCAATAAAAAAATAATAAAAATAAATCTTTAAAAAAAATAAATAAATATGAAAGGTGTTATTTTAAACCTAGGTGGCCCTACAAATGTGAAAATAGTGGGAAAAGGGTCTTCAGACATTTTCAGCTAGTTGCTCCTCCCCTCCGTTCATTTTTTTTAGTAGCTTCCACTAAATGACATCATTGTTAAATCAAGTTGCATTTTGTAATGTAGCCATTTTAGTTCTTAATTAAATAACAGCACAAGCATGCCTGGCATTTCAGAAAAACTTATTATCTATTCTATCTTCCTTTTCCTTTACTTGTTCGATTTTTGTTTAGGAGCATGTGAATGTGTCACTAATAGTTGAGTACCACTCATACCTTGGTCCTAATTATTTTGTTTTCTCTCCTTGAAAGTGTTCCAGCATGTTAAGGTGGACATAATAGAAAA